CACTGAGGGTTGCGATCCGTTGCCGGACACGGAAAAAGACAAAAAAAAAAAAAAAAAGCCTTGACAATTTTATTAGTAAGAAAATTGTTAAATATTCTTGCTATCTCTGATATACTCTTTGGGGTGGTGGGCCCCATCTATTGTCAATCTATTATGTGTTTGGTTTGGGGGGGTTTTTGGCAGCTGGCTGGTACAGGGATCTGAACCTGTGACCTTGCTGTTACAAGGCTGTGCTTGAACCAACTGACCTAACCGACCGGCCCCAAACAATTATGTTAACCATGGAAAATATCCATCCTGACAAAAGTGCTACCCACGACCCCCTCAAAGGAAACAAGCAAACGAACTGACCCCAAGACTGGATTTAAGTTAATCACTCCAAAGTAAAGCCAATCAGGGTCACACCCTTGGCCTTCCTATTTAAGTAAGTCAGGAGAAATTCAAATATTGTAGATTAGTGTTGTATAAATCTAGTAATCTATTCTCTGTCCATATATCCAACATATGGTTTATGAATGTGAGCAAATTTTGTGAAGTTCAGATTACATTTTGGATTTATAAATTTTCCACGAATCATTAAAAAATAAAGAGAATACCAGAGCCAATCAGCTTTCTACATGGATTACCACCACTTTTACTCCTCTCTCATCTAGATGGCATCTTAATGACCTGTCCATGCTTTAGGAAACCACTACACACCTGCCCGGAAATGTGACCGTTGGTTAAGGCTGCATTTCTTACACTACCGTGGTTTTGTAAGAAGCGTGTGCCTAAAATAGGCCTGCGATTTCCTTTACCTATTCCCTTCTCCAAAGGCTGTGTTAAAGAGGGTAATGCAAGCCCCCCTCTGCCAAACGCCGGCCGGCACTCCCACAAAGATAGATTGCTTCTTTTTTTTTTTTTTTTTTAACTTTATGGAGTCTGGGAACCTGAAAGTGTTTCTTAAATGGTTTGCTGAGAGTTTAAAATGCTTAAGCAATTTGAAACCGAGTGAAGCCTGGCCCTAACGCCGAAATATCCGCATTAGGATGTGGGCTAGGTGTCCGCCTATTGCAAAGCGAGGTAGGGTGCGAGGTTCTGAAGAAACTGTTTGGAATCCGATGAGTGCGGGTAGGCGTGGGTGGGGAAGGGAAGAGCTGGCCGAGGGAGAAAAGAAAGGCACTGGCGTCCAGAGAGCACGTCCGAGGGTTCCAGAGTTGCTAGCTCCATCCCTAAACCGCCCGTTGCTGGGAACCAGCGGGAAAAGGAAAGGTCAGCAAGCCTCCGGTGGGGATGAAGGCGGCGGTCCTGGCCTGGACCGCTGGCCTAGACACCTGGCTTGCGGGGACGCCCGATCCGGCTAAGCCCCCTGGCAGGTGAGCAGCGTTCTCGTTCCCTTCGGAAACCTACACATTCCTCTCTCTCCCCCAAAGTGCTAACAACTTCAGGCGTTTGGGGGTGGCAAGGGAGGTACAGACCAGAAGGGGCAGGCCCCGGGGTCTCAGGGATTTTCAAGGTAGGGAAGAACGACGACAGCCCCGCCGTGACCGCCTTTGCTCCTCGTGTCCCCCGCCCCCCGTCCGCAGAACCTGCCGCGGCCGCGCGGTGTTCGGCGGGCGCCAGGCTGAGGTCCCTGCCCGGACGCCGGGGCTAGCGTGGGATGGGCAGGGTCGGGGTTGGCGGGTTCCCGAGTGCAGCGGCGGATGGCTGCAGCGACCACACGCTGGGCAGGCCACCACATTCTGCCTGTCCGAGAGCCAGGAGGAGGCAGGGACGCGAGCGAGGCGGGGCGCGTGCTGGCTCCGGCGCGCCTAGCGGACCGAGCCGCCGAGCCCTCCGCGGCTGCCCCTCTCCATCCCCGCGCGGGCTCCCCGCCCTTACCTCTGAGCGCGGGGCCGCCGGCTGGAGAAGGTGCTGCGGAGCGGCGAGCTGCCTCCGGGTCGAGCTCAGCGGCGGCCAGCGACAACG